TAGTATTATTATGTTAGATATTAGACCTTTATTATATAAAATTTTCTAAGACTATTGAACTTTATATCCTTTGACTTCTCATCACTCATTTTTGTATCCTGAACAGTTAATGTACCACGAAGTTTGTTACACCCAGAGGGAAACGTCTAAAACCCTATAAAGCATATACATATATAAATTATCAGCATGACGAGCTGAGTCAATTTAGTCACATATGTCTACGTATACGAGGCAACGCTCAGTTGCTCGATAAACGAAAATGGCACAAGCCATCCCACGCTTTTCTCATTATAATACAATAATTCAGTCTTTGTTTGAAGTGCTTTAAAAGCGTTGTTTTTTTAGTTCTTCAAACTATATTTATTTATCACTTCTTAATTTAATGTGTATTTATTATTTAGCCACACGTGGTGTTTTCACTTTCTTTAAGGATGCGTTTGAGTAAATTTGATATGAATGATGGCATAGAAGTTGATACTTTTAGCTGCATAGTTTTTTGGGCACTTTTGCAGGATAGATAGTTGAAGCATTTGCTGCATAGTTTCAGGCTATTATTTTTGTGGTTGTAATTTTGCAGTGTCTATCAAACTGTTAATACTTTTTTCAATGCCATCAAAGAAAGTAAATTTAAAGATAAGGCAGAGAACGTAAATGAACGAGAAGGTGCAGGCAGAGAATGTTAATAATTATATAATAATAATTTATACCAGAGAGAATGAATATTCATTAACATTCTTGTGAAAATCTCGAATAAGTAATTTTTAACATTTGCGCCTTTTCTATTTATTAACATTCTCTGGTACGTGCTCGACAGCGAACATTTGTAAAATTTCAACCGGGGAATTCACCTCACAAGCAAGGAATTTAACTAACATATCTCGCGTTCTTAACAGCGGGGAATCTGAAAAACAAAAATTCTTCTAAGCTCTCTGCTTTGGTATTATCCAGTTCTAATGCATTTAAACATATAAACGACATTCTTTCAATTATCTCATATATGATATGTATGTATGTATGTATGCATATGTGATCGTTTTCTTTTATGAAACAAATAATACAATCCCAATAAGTAGTTGATACACCATTTAGCTACGTTTACAAAAACCAAAAGATTAATTAAAAAATATTTTTTATATGTATATTGATAAAATATAATATGTTTTACATATATAGTCGTTTTCTTTTGCAGATAAAGCGACAAATATACAACGCAAGTGGACTACAGTTGCCGTAGTAATATCGATTGCATCTTTAACACTGAGCAGTTAGTTTGATAGAACATTTTTGTTCACTTAGAATATTTTTGTTTAGATTTTAATGAAAACTGAATTTCGCGGTATTTTTAAAAGTGCTTATTTTGTAAATGCATGTAAATGTCATAACAAGAAAAATTAAAAATCATATTCATATTTTTATGTATAAGTACGGACGTGTACTGAACATTAATAAATACGAAAACAAAACACATAGTTTAGATCGAAATGGACGGGTTTTTATTTATTAAATAGTATCACTTATAAACATTTACATTTGTAAACTTAATAAATTAAATTCTGCGATTTTTTTTTACTTTTAATAACACACGAAAATCATGTCAATCACTTCTTATATTTGAACTCTGAATAGAGTATACAGTGGTGCACTTAAAATTAGAAACGACATGCTAAAAAAAATCAAATAACTGTATACTTAGGTAAGACGCGTACTGTATATTATGAGTACAGTTATTCATAGTGTCGGCGATGAACGGTGTTGCTAAACAAACACGTCTCTTTTGCCGACTGGTTATTATAAAAATTAAAATTATTTCCCAGTTTGAGCTTCTTAGCTGGCCACGCAATTAGAAACTTGTTAGTAGCTGGGAGAAACTTAATACGTTTTAATCATTAGATTGGGCAAAACAGAGTCATGAATTCCAAGAATGAGGGAGTTAATTGTGAGATGCTTTCAAAAAGAAAAATTGTCAATGTCAGCTATCGCACAAAGGTTCGCTAGCTCCAAAAATATGATATTTAGAGCTATTCATTTGTATAAAAAACAGAGAAGTTTGAAACCCCTACCAGGAAGCCCAAGCCTCGAAAAACCAGTCCTGCAGAAGACAGGATAATTTGTAGGATGAGCAAAAACAACCCGTTCATGACTTCGCGTGAAATAAAGGCTGAAATTGGACATCAAATTAATCAAAAAATCTGAGCAAGTACAATAAGAAGGCGCTTATAGGAGTCGGGCCTTCGGGGGTGCATTGCCAAAAAAAAAACACTCGTGTCAAAACAAAAATATTAAGAAGCGGTTACGATTTGCAAAGGAAATGCTAAAGAAAAATCCTCAATACTCTATAGAGTACTCTGAAGTGACGAATCTAAGTTCCAATCCGATGCAAAATCGTATGTAAGGCGTCCTCCAAACATAACCCTAAACCACAGGTAAACTGTGAAAAGAGTAAAACACGGTGGCGGACCTATTATGATTGGGGAGCCTTTTAATATCCTTGTGTTGACTTAATTGTGCGTATTCAAGGGATAAGGTATCAACATCAATATCCTGGAAAATGTATGGAACCATATTCGTTTGAGAATATGCCAGTCCGACAAGGACCCAAAAAATATCATAATCAATCAAAATTATCCACATCTTTGAGTTTATCTACTAAAATAAACTGAAAATAAAATAATTTTTAAATATATAATAGGGTATAGATTGCTTTAAATATAAATAACTCGTCATTCATTAGTATACAATATGGTTAAGTTCTTAAATTTGAATAACACATATAAGAATAACACTTACATATACATATCAGATGTGTGATATCAATATATATATATATATATATCCGAATTGTGAACCAAAAACTCGTATTTTTTATTTCTTGAGTCAAAACAATAATTTTAAAGATATGATTATCAGTAATATAATTTTTATTTATACCTAGCAATATTCTGATATCTCCTTATTTTTTGCTTAATATTATATTTAAAAAATCTATCTTTGGAACATATACTTGTTCTTTCCTTTGTATTAATCTTTCCATATATAAATATTTTTTTTTTGAAAATATTACCTAACTTTAATTCTTATGTATTTATGTTCAACTGAAAAATCTCACATAGCACTTTATCAACCTTATCTTCACAGACAATTCTTAAATCTTGCGAAAAGTTGAGAAATTAAGATGTTCTATAATTAAACAATTCTAATTGACAAGGACCACTAATTGTTCTAAGCCTTAGATCAAAAGTTAAATAAAAAATAATAAAATATTATCATCAAACAAAAATTGGATATAATTATTTACGAAGCAAAATAAATTCATACACATTCATACATTGACCGAACCTAACCTTAATACATATTCCTAATTGTATATGAAGAATGTGGCAACTCTATTATCTACTCCATTCATTTAATTCAGTTGAGGAATTTTAGATGTCATGCGACATGAGCAACAATCGAGGTGTTTTGCACTTCCAGCAGTCTCTATGGAAGTTAGTTCTTTCTGCCTAAAAGTATGTAAGTAGACAGTTTTCTTAGCTTCCAACGGATGGCAATTTTGTAGTAAATGCGTTAACTAAAATTTTATAAATTCAAAGTGGTTTTCTATTTGTTAAAAAAAGTACAATTATCATTTGTACTAACACAGTTATTGATCTAAAAAAAAGGCAGATTACTTGGTAGGAGTTATAGGCAAAACTTAAGGGTTTAGCAAAGTTTACAAGGCCAAGAGATGAAATGAACGTCTCCTCGTACCTGTTCAGTTTGTGCCTGGTGAAAGTAACACAACCAACGACATCGGTCAAATGGCTTCTGGAGATGCTATCAACTCCTTTGATCAGGATCTATCAACCACGTCCAATACTAAAACGGCGGAGAATTCAAATTTTATTAAAGATGGTAATTTTTTCATTCCAGCATTATGAGTTTTACACATGCACCCTAGGGGCGCTTACGAAATACTTTTCAATGTACTTATGTATGCATTTTTATGTTTGGGTGCTACATACGGGCGTATTAATAGGAATTCGGTGATTTTACGCACAAATATCTAAAATTGCAAAGCGGATATATTCATTAAGAGAATTTATTATCATATATTATATATAAAAATTTGCGACAGTCTAATCGTAAGCGAATATGTACGACTGACAAATTTTATTTCTTGGAATGGTCTAAAAAATCAATGCGGGTTTTTGGTACCTTGAAACAAATTAATACGATAAACAAGAAATTAAATAAATCGGAAAGTAGTCAAACCCATTGGTATTTGGGGAAAATTTTCCTTATCAAGGTAAAAGTTATTGTTGCAAATACAAACTTTATTGAAACTTTTTAGACAATATACGAGTACAAACATTAATATGCATATATACATATGTGCATAGAGTTCACAACATTAAATATTTTGATAAAGAATTTGATATTATTTAGAAAACTATTTTATATTCACAGATCAAAATAATCCATCTTCGAGTTCAGATGTAAGTAAATATCTTTATCTAAATAAAGTAAACACAGTTTTGAAGTATTGTTGCTCTAGATTAATCAGCATCGCCAATCTCGTTATGGAAACAAAGGGGATAAGGAGCGCAAGATTGGTCATCGGCGCGTTGGAGAAGGTGGGGAGATTACCTATAAAAAAATTCAAACTAGCCAGATAATGGGCTCTATCCAGTTGGGCATTCAACATACGGTAAGTATTGCTTTATATGGCGAGAATATTTAGCTCCAAATATTTATTGAAACGTAGTTAAATGAAATATTTTTTTCAGGTCGGAAGCCTGGCATCTAAGCCGAAACGTGATCTTTTAATGATGGACTTTTTCGAAATTGAAAGTATTACTTTCCCCCCAGAAGGATCAAGCCTTACGCCAGCCCACCACTATAGTGAATTCAGATATAAAATTTATGCGCCTATTGCATTTCGGTATTTTAGGGATTTGTTCGGAATACAACCAGATGATTTTATGGTGAGAAGATATTTATTAATTTAGTTTTATGATGAAATTAAGTATGTATATTTAACTCCTATGATCCAAAATAATAAGTCGAACTTTATAGTCACGCCCTAAGGCATAATGTTATTATTAATAATATGTTAAATATCCTTCCAAAAATTTAGATGTCCATGTGCTCAGCACCGCTGAGAGAGTTATCCAATCCGGGTGCATCTGGTTCTATCTTTTATTTGACGGCTGATGATGAATTCATAATTAAAACTGTTCAACACAAAGAAGGAGAGTTTTTGCAAAAGCTTTTGCCTGGGTATGTCCAATATTTTATAAGCAAAAGTCTTTATACAAAGTCTTACCCTATTTATCTTACTATATATACGGTAGATACTACATGAATTTGAATCAAAATCCGCGTACATTATTGCCAAAATTTTTTGGTCTTTACTGCCTACAGACGAGTACTAGTAAAAACATTCGATTGGTTGTTATGAACAATCTCTTGCCCTCATCAGTTAAAATGCATTTGAAATATGATTTAAAGGGATCGACGTTCAAGAGAAAAGCTTCAAAAGGGGAACGTTCAAAAAAATCACCAACTTATAAAGATCTTGACTTTATGGAACATCATCCAAATGGTTTGTTTCTAGAAGCCGAAACATATAGCGCACTTATCAAAACAATTCAACGCGACTGTACGGTTTTGGAATCATTCAAGATTATGGATTATTCGCTTTTAGTTGGAGTTCATAATTTGGATCAGGCGAGCAAAGAAAAGAAAAGTGAAAGTAAAAAATCAAAAGTTCCCATTGCTGAGGATTCCGATCTTGAGGACAATCCAGATGGGGATGGAGAAGCCACTGGTGGATCGGAAGGTCGGGAAAGAGAATCATCGGTGGGCATAAATCGTAATAAGTAAGTTCACCCAATAAACTTTATGTACGTAGGCATAAGCATTACATTGATTGAGATAGACTCATATGTATGTAGTTAGGAACGTTATATGCATTTCAAATTTTGTTGAATACGGAATACTTTATACTAGAAAAACATTTTGGGGCTTAACATTATTTGTCGAGGTCATATTGAAAACAAACAACTTTTTCTAAAATTGTTGATATCTTCTTTAATACCATTTCAATCCGCGAGTCTAACGTGCTAGCAGAATATCTAATCTTAAATAATCTAATTTTTTGGAAAAAAAATTAAATCATATAAATACATTCATATATATAAATGATGGCAGTAAAGAACAATGTTGAATGTAAGATCAAATGTAACGTTCAAACCAATTTTTTGTTGTATGAATTATTTCAGACCAAAATCGAACCTTGTTTGCTCATAAAATAAGACTTGGTTTGAGATATCATTCTGAAATTTAGCACATGTCATTTTCTTCATAAAATATGTATAAAAGTCGTTTAGATCAAACAACGTGGCTTGAAAAAAAATGGTTTCGGTTGGTCGATGAATGGTATTATATTATACCTTCGGTGCAGTTCCAGTTAACGTTTTTTGTAGTTTTTGATTATTTTCCTTTATAATGGTATAACAATTTATTTTCTTAAAATATTTAAAATTGTTAAGAGAAATTTGGAGATAATAACATCAATCAAAAAACTAAAAAATTTAATAAAAAATGATAGAAAAAGAACCTAACGCCAGCAACAGCTGTTGAAAATGTCTGATTATTGGTATTGAAACAAACGGAATTAAGGAAGAAAAATATATTTTTAAATTTTAAAAGAATAAACTTAAACAGGTAGACACAAAAAAATAAACAATTTATTAAATAATATATGATACTGTAAGCATACATATAGTTATTTTTATAACGATTCCACACCGAATTTCGTTTTGTTTTTTAGATCAGCAAATCGACAACGTCTAGTGGCGCATTCTACAGCAATGGAAAGCATTCAAGCCGAGAGCGAGCCTATAGACGACGAAGATGATGTTCCGTTAGTATAATTGCTTCTATTTTAATGCGCTGGCTATATTATTATTTTTCTTATTTATTAGACCTGGTGGAATTCCTGCCCGAAGTGAAAAAGGCGAACGTCTCCTTCTCTACATCGGTATAATTGATATATTACAGTCTTACAGATTGAAGAAGAAACTTGAGCATACTTTCAAGAGTATCATACATGATGGGGTAAGAATTTAACATAACAAATCACAGATCTAATCGGTAGAGTGGGTCATAAAAGCTTTCTTCGCATTTGTAAAATTAGTCATAGTGATATGGTACTGCCATTATATCAGGACTGTAATTTTACATGATTTACTTAACGACATCTTATTTTATCTGAAATAGACACGTACACCCAGTTTGGATGAGAATTGTTACTATTACTAATGATTATAATTTTTCTTACTTGTTTCTCAAGCTTTGAATTCAGGTTCGAAGCTGTTCAGTTTTCTCCTGTCCGTTCATATATCGTCCATAGAGAATATTTATAGAACAACTTGGTACTCGTTATCATAAGGGGGATAACTGGATCACAGCAACAATAACTTAAGCATATAATTGTTATTATATACTGAACACTGAAAGTTTGGACACGTTCTTTTCACCCTAATCAGCTGCTTATTTGTCGGAAGCGCCGATATCGGACCACTATAGCATATAGCTGTCATACAAGATGAACAATCAAAAATCTAGTTCTTGGAAGGACAACTTTTTTATTTGACAAAGTATTTTCACGAAATTCGCAATAGATTATTGCCCAAGGCAACGGTACAATCACCGAGGAAATTGTTCAGATCGGACCATTATAGCATATATCTATCATATCTACTGACCGATCAAAATCAACACCAAGATATTCATAAAAGCTATTTTATCCTTAGTAAGGAACCTTAATTCGACTTGTTTACTTATATATCAATCGTTTGATGTAAATCGTTGACCGATTACGTTTTTAGGTTTAGTTGTACATACAAGTATAGTTGGTATAAGAAATGTACATTTGAAGGATATTCGGCATCGGCGAAGTCGAAGTTACCGTTTTTTCTTCTTTTTCCTTATTTTTAAACTTTGAGTTGGATTATTGACGGATGGACGGAGATAACGATGATAATACCTGTTACATTATTTTAAGTACTCAAATATTCAATTCGCTTGATGAAACAAATCCAATTCTAAAGAGCAATAGCAAATAAATTATAGCAAAACTGACTTTAGAAGATACAAAGCGTTTCCATAATTTACTGTACTTACTTTTATTTTCAGGACACTGTATCAGTGTGCCGGCCATCATTTTATGCTCAAAGATTCCAAAACTTTATGGCCAAAACCGTATTTCGAAAAATACCTTCGTGTAAGTTATTTTTAAAAATTCCTTGAATAATAATGCACATATAAAAAAAAATTACAAATATTTTCTTGCGATCAAAGTGGATTTACCGGAAATTAAAGGAAATCATAGAAAGTTTCGTACTTTGGTAACCAGTTATATTGGTAAGAATCATTTGAATCATTATACTCAAAAATGCCACACATATATGGGTTCATGTTTTAAAAATTTCAGCACTCAAGCACTCTCCTTCAAAAAGGAAAAGTTTGTCGAAAGCAATACAGCGTTCTATTGAAAATGAGAGTGAAAATCGCTGTAAGTAAATATATACCATATATATATTCATATGTATGTATATGTTCGTGACAATTAACATTTGCAAACTTTTTCACATAGCGGAATGTGCCGTCGAACATCGTCCTACGTATCCACCGAACACTTCCGGCACTAAGACGCACACACAATCTAGTAAGCCGTCAGTTGGACTGAAGTCTTCTGGTGTTGATGTACCCACATCGTCTACATCGCTCGCTTCCACAACCCCCGCTGTTCCGATGGTTGGCCCTCGATTATCTATTCAATATGCGGGCAGTGGTGCATCAAAGTCTAAGGTCCCCCCACCTGTGCCACCTAGAGGTTCACCTCGGCGAAAGAAAAGTGATGGTCATAACGAAGTCGGGCGCGGTGTTTCCAATACAGGTAGATATTCCATCGGCAGCAACAATAAAGAGACTAGCATACAAACAGACATAGTGAACCATTCCGTCAAGAGCTCCTCACCAACAATAGCATCAACATTTAAAACCGTAAAAACCCCAGAACAAAAACTACCTCAAGCAAAAAACACCTTGCAAGTTATGGAGAAACCACTGCCCCGATTCGGTGAGTGTCGTTCACCGAGTAATGTACAAGATTGGTTGGAGTTACACGATTTGTTTGACATTGATTTGCCACCGCCTCTGCCTCCTCCGCCCAAAATACAAACATTAGCTACATCTCGCAAGCCATCGCGGCCCCTCAGTCCTGACTCGGTGAATTCCCCGACGAAAAACCGTACAATATGTCGCTCAATCGCACCTAGCGATTCAATAAAATCAACATACTCCACTGCTCGATCGGAGGTTCGTTCGCATAGGTCATATCGGTATAATTTACTTCATCGCGTCGACGTGCTTCAACGCCAAAACAGTGTTATGTCACGATCTGGACGACCATCGATTGGCTCGATTGTTTACAATTTTCCGCCTATTGACGCAGATCCACCTGAAATTCCATTCCCGCGTTCCTCGGAAAACCTGAAAAGTTATCGTCGATCTCAACAAAAAAGTAACAAGCATAGAAAAATATTTCAATACGCTGATATGGCTCTTCGTGATGAACGGTTCGAGGTTGAACAGGACGAAAATCTACTGCAGTCTGTTACTGCATTTGTAGAAGTTAGGAATGAAATAGAATCAAAGTTTAAGTCGCGTAAATCTCACCCACCTCCTGCAATTCCATCCAATATGCAAAATCAAAACGAAAAACAAGAAACAAAAAAGAACGACCCTTGTTAAAAACAACAATGCATGGAAGGTCGTTAGAGGCTTTCACACATAAATTCAAACATATATATATATATGAACAAATATTAAAACCGTGTGTTTACATTACTTGCTTCTTCATCCCTCTTTTCCAGTCCCAATATATGCAAATCGCCTCATTGCCTTGTACCCTTTTATTTATTCCTATCTCCTAACCCAGTTTAATTTTCATTGATTAATGCATTGTTTTCATGTATCGCTAGGCTCAACACCTTCTTGCAGTTCAACGCCTCCACCCGCGTTTGATGATATTTCTGAAGACAGTTCGAATAGAAATAGTTCGTCTTTTGGTAGAAAATCGCAATACTCTCACGAGCGTAAAATGAATGTCGGTCCAGCGTATCGAGGCTCTCAAAAGGACGATATTGTCAGGTAATCTTAACAAAATTCATAGTTATTCTTGCACTAGTTTAATTTGGCATGCAACATTTTTATTATTTTCAGTATGATTACATTTACATAATTACCGACCCATGCCATACTACGAGTTATATTATAATATAATTTTTCGCAAATGTAAATTTAGTTAAATTCTTTGAGATCCTTGGACGGGAACTATTGAGTGCTTTGTGGAAATTATCATTGGCAAAATAAAAACCAATCATACCCGCCGTAGCGTATGAACAAAAAGATAGGGTTAGTGTGGTAATTATAATTGTATTCTTTTTTTTTTATCAACAAAATATACATTGTTAGCATATTTCCGTAAAGTTCAGTTTTACATTTGTATAACAAGCAGTTAATTTTCATAAGATTTATTATTTTAATTAGATATGGAACGTGCAAGGTATTTTACAAAAGAGGAAATTATTGAAAAATTGCGAAATGAAAAAAAGAGTCGACGTATGGTCTCTGAACTACTTTTCAACTTATTCGCGTAAAACGACAGAAATATATGTTGACCCTATAAAAATAACATCAACGCCTGCTCCTTTTAAAGGATATGCAGCAATAGTATCTGAGCTAAATTTGCAATTGTTTTCTCTTACTATTACACGCAAATTAGTTGAACAAATTTATATTGCAGATCATGGCAATAGGTCGTAATGCGGACTTATCGACATAGAAGCCAGCACTTAGTGTTCGCAATTTTATAATCCGCGATATACCACTAAAGTGTGTAAGCATGCAGATAAATGCATTATGGTGTAGGCGTTGTTGTTGTTGTTGTAGCGGCAGAATTCTGCCGAGATTGACAGTCCTTGGCCGGAATAAATCCGGGTCCGTTCCGGTTACATAGACCCGACTGTCGTGGGAACGGATGGTGTGGGCGTGTTTTTTCTCTCCTGGCGTTGGCCAATATTTTTTATTAAGGAAATTTTGGACAAACACTTTCACGTCTAAATACTTGAAGAAATTATGCTAAGTGGGAAATACCTTTAAAATGGGTATATCAGCAAGATAATGTCCCCAAAACCCTTGCGGTTTAACAAAAAATTGTTCTTCAGACAATGGAATTAAAATTATTGATTAGTCTGCGCAATCACCAGAATTAATCGCACTTAGTCAAGGAGCCCACGACAGTCGGGTCTAAGTAACCGGAACGGGCCCGGATTTTTATCCGACCAAGGACTGTCAACTCGGTACCATTCCTCGAAACTACTTCAGGAATGTTTTCTGCCGCTACAACAACAAAAAGAAGAGTATACCTATATCCAATGAAAACTAAAACATAAATTCTTAGTTTAAAAATCATTTTGATTTTGATCTTATTTTTGTGTACAATGAAATTCTAATGAGGTGGAATATATTAATTTTTAATAAGCTAATTTGGACGTCCCTACTATTTTGTCTATCACTGTATGTGCATATTACAAGCGCTACATCTTTGGCTTAACCGAGGAGTCGTCACAAACAAAAATCTGTAACTTTACCTTAGATTACTAACCTTAACTAGAATACTTTCGAAAGTTCATTATTTTATCCTCAAGTAATTGATCTCAAAGTGACTCTACCTCTGCTATTTTTGTTACAAGTGAATAAAATCAACTTCAGGTTTTGATAAAACATTATTCATAATTGAAAAAACAACGTTGATGCAAAGTAATGGCTTTAAAAGTGTTACTCCAAATTCCTGCATATTATATTGTAACTGTACGAGAACAATTATGCACCTCGTTCAGGAGGGTCAGAAGAGCCAGTAACACTAGAAAGCATTGCGAAAATTCATTAAATTTTGTTGGGTGACCGAAAACATCATTGATACCTCAAATGAATACGGCTTTGGTCCTATTACAAAAAGACAAATGTGATGGGGTCGAAAGAATTACGCTATGAACTAGTCTAGCCGTATTTACCAGACTTTTAAAAAAAACATTTTCAGATAGTAATGTGCATTATATTATTTCGCACTTCATTTGTTTGCTTAGTTTTAGAAAGCTCATACGAAAGCGCACCTTTACAACATCATTTATTTTATGTACAATTTTAGCATTTCTGAAATACACTTAGACACATATTTGGCTGTAGATACTTCATCCAGTAGTCAATATGGATCCCGTGGAGGATTGGCGTGGACACCACCAGCTTCTGGAGAGGGGTCAACACCGACTTGGACAGAAGGAACGCCAAGCTTTACAGATTCCAGCTCCAGTGGTGATATTGGTAAGCTACATACAGTAAGTTAGATGAATATTTCTGTTGAGATTAGTTTTCATTATCTTTACAGAGAACTTTTCCCCAATTAACACATCAAAAATTGACCGACATAAAGCAACTGTGGAAGACACACTCAACTCCCTTTCATCGGAAATGGTTCGATGTTAGTTTACACATATTCTCATTTTAATCATATTTTATATAATTTACTACACCTTTTCCATCTATTACCTTCAGATTAACTAAATAAGTAAATCTGGACTGAAGGAAGAGTTAAATTTGTGACAAAGAACCACAAGCAGATATGTGCAATACTCGTGCGTGGGATTGAGTACCAACAGAAGTACTATTGTACTTTAAGAGGGCAAACCTATTCTTTAAAGAACATACGCATTGAATATTTGAAGTCTTATTCAGGTTTATTAACCTTACACTTCAGAGATGCCAGTGATTACAAAATAGGTTCATAGCAGTACTAGACACAAGCAAACATACATTAATATATATGCTGAAATCCTGAATAAAAAATATAATACTGACGCAGATAGGGTTAAAGTGTTTAAAACGCATGTACACACAAATAATAAGAACACAAATACATATTACTCGTTCTTAATACATATGTGCTATCTTTTGCTTAGCTCCCTTAATCTTCCACACTTATTTTTTTTTTGTCAATTTGTCTACTCTGCCCCTTCCTCTTAAAAAGTACAGAACACCCTCTAATGTATAGATAAATGGAAATGCAATAACATCAAACTGATTTTGTATTAAAGCAATTCGTTTGTGTGCACTTACATACATATCGCAGCAAGAACACAAGAGTTTCGGTTAGATTTGTCAATTTGGCCTTAAGAAACTCATAAAAAATTTAACGGAAATCTCTAGTAGAACCCTTGGGTAATTAACCAGTAGTTTAATCGGTAGTTGGCTTGCTGTGAAATGCATCCACAAATGTAATACTCATATACAAAATTGTTTAAACAAATATGTATATACATAAATACATCCGAATCTACACACATAGTTCATATATACTATATGTAAATGTATATATATATCATAATTATAGTCATAATATCTAAGAAAACAATTTGCTACATACATACAAAACTAAATTCAGTTAAAAGCTTAAACATTCTATGTAAGCTTGATCATACATATGTATATCCTGTTTAAACATTTTATATATATAGGTATATATATATATATATATAATGTATATATATATGTATATATATATATATATA